AATAACTAAAAATGGCAGGATGTTGAATTTACTTGAGACACATGGACTAGTGTGTAATATAAATCATAATATAACACATTGTCATGATCCAGTGGCTGATATAATTTTAACAAAATGTATTTTTAATTATGTTGTATCTAAAATTAGACCCATTAAATTATATAAAATATGTAAAAGGGAAAAGAAAAGAAAATAAATAAAAAGGTATAAGGGCAAATTTAATAAATGATAATATAAGCAATAACAATTAATGTAAGTTAAAAAAAAAATATATATATATATATAACAACAAAACACATGAGATGTGAGGTAAAGGGTTTCCTATTAATATACATTACATTTATTCTAGAGAAAGGAAATTCATTGAAGAATTAAAGGATTTCATAGGCAACAAAGTACATATATATAGATATAAGGAAGATAAAATCCAATCGATATGCATATGTCGACACTTATTAAAAGCAAATAAAAGAATTAGTCAACCTTTTGAATTTAAAAGACTAAATAAAATAACTAGAAACATCGAACTATTTATGAAGGATCATTGTAAGGGGGAGTGTAAGGAACTTTTGAAAATAATCGAAATGACACACGACTCTAGATACATATTTGATTACCCAAAATAAATTTAAATTAAAAAAAAAAAAAAGAAATATTTATATTATTAAGCATAAAAGTGTAACAATGTTGAATATGGTATTCACATAAATTGGTGAAGGATTTTAAAACATTATTTATACAAGGGAAACTAACACTTATTATTATTAATATTGTTATAATCATTATTTTATAAGAGAAAAATATCATTCATATTATATACCAACACTAACACAATTACTTATTTAAAATGTGAACTATGGAACCTATTGTAAATGGCATAAGCCATAATGATAATAATAAAAAAAAAATGTAAATGAAATAATAATCTGTAACACATTTTAACTAATTTCTCAACTGTAATGAAAATATTATGTAATGTGACAATAGCAATAACTAAGAAAACAATTGTAAAGATTTCTGTCTTGCAGACATAAACCTTTTTTTTCGCGGGGAGGTGTTGCGGGCCTTGAGACTCTAGGCGCCACTATTCGATATACAGGGTGGTGCAGAGGAAACGCATGTTTATTGAACCGCTAGTACGCGGCGACGGGAGGGGGTATTGACCTTGAACGAATGTTAGCAGACAGCCCATGCAATGCCGTTTCAGTCGCCATGGAGCGTTGGAGCGTACGTGTGTTCGTTGTAGAGCAGTTTTTTAGAAACAATGATTCTGTAGTCACAGTGCAACGTATTTTTCGTCAATATTTTAGAGTTGGACGTCATGGTGCAGTGCCTGATCGAAATACCGTACTCCGATGGGTTGCAGCGTTTAGAAGTACTGGTTCTGTGATGAAAAAGAAACCACCTGGTCTTCCCCGTTCAGTTCGTACACCGGAAAATGTAGACCGAGTCAGAACGGCAATGGTTGCTAGTCCTAGACGATCGACTAGACGACATGCAGTAGCGATGGGTATGTCACGTCGTTCGCTTCACCGCATTTTACATGATGACCTCAAGTTCCATCAGTACAAAATAATGATCGTCCAGCAGCTTAATGAAGGGGATTTTGTCCAGCGCAGAGAGTTTTGTCGCATAATGGATGAAACGTTTACGGAAGATCCCGATGCTACAGTCTTCATGAGTGATGAAGCACATTTTCATCTGGACGGTTACGTCAATGTTCAAAACTGTCGGTATTGGGCATCTGAGAACCCACAACAGTTACACCAAAGACCTCTGCACAGTTTAAAGGTAACAGTGTGGTGCTGCATTTCAAAGTTGGGGATTGTTGGACCCTATTTTTTTGAAGAAGAAGGAATTGCAGTTACTGTTACATCAGCTCGCTACGTTGAAATGTTAAACAACTTCCTTCGTCCAGAACTTGAAAGGCGTCAAGTGAACATGAGAGACATTTGGTTTCAGCAGGATGGTGCCACAGCTCACACGGCGAGAGCATCCATGGCAGTGGTTCGACAAATGTTTCCAGGACATGTGATTTCGAGATTTGGCGATGTTCACTGGCCCCCTCGCTCACCCGACCTGTCGATATGCGACTTCTTTTTGTGGGGATATTTAAAATCAAAAGTGTATATCAACAAGCCTCGCACACTCGAAGACCTTAAGAATTCCATTCGTCAGGAAATTGAAGCCGTGCCGAATGAAATGTTGGAGAGAGCCGTTCGTAATTTTCAGAAGAGGATCCACATTTGTATCCAGCAAGAAGGACGTCATCTCAAAGACATTATTTTCCAAACCTAAACATGCTATGTAATTTCAAAAACGGCATTAAAAATCCTATCATTTAATACTTGTTTTTATTATTTTCAACCCATTGTGTCCCAGTAATTCAATATTGAAAAACATGCGTTTCCTCTGCACCACCCTGTATAATAACATAGTATATAATAAAATATAATATATCATACCTATCCATAAATCACTGGACAGGTACACGATTAGAAATCATGGACACGAGTCACTATTCTAAGAATTGGCAACAACAACCGAAACACACACACATACAAGCTGCACGCGCCGCTACATCAAAGGAACCGCCATCACTTATAAGGGAGCCCGTGGGACAGCCTGGGCAGATGTATCATAGCCACGGAGACCTGAGCAACTTCTCGTCACACGCACACACGCTATTATACTATTACTATATTTTCTGCTAAATAAACATAATTCTACAGTTCAATTTGGTACTTGTTGATTTGTCTCTAAAGCTTACGGCTTTTTGAGCCTTTGAGATTACGCACACAACATTATTAACATAATTGTTGGCTTTGCAAACCAGTTTGCTATGCCAATAACAAACATCCAGAATAGTGTCCAACGATAAATTTGGGCTACAACACTAATAAGAGTAATACTTCTCTCTTTGACTTATACAATTAAATACAAGTTTTTTTTTAGAAATGTAAGAACACCACTTCAAAGTTTACAATTCACAGCTCAGTACCAAAAAAGTACGTTTCTTGTTTTACTTTTTGTTCGGTTTATGGCTGTAAGAATAGAACAATGAATAAAAATCAATCATTCTATCGGTTTCCAAAAAACAAATAAATGAGGCATCGGATATCCAAAACTTTTCGGAAAAACAGAGAAATGCATGGCTGAAATCACTACACAGACTACATTTAGAGAATAAGAAGGTTGACTCTATGCGTGTATGATTTGTTAGGCCTATACTCTTTTGCTTCCATATGACTTCAAAGTAATAGTTTTGTCACTCTAGCTAATTCTAATGCTGAAGTACAGATATAAGGATGGAAACAGGGATGTCAAATTTTCTAAGAGACCAATTCTTGTTACTCACAAAAATGTAAAAAAAATGGTCACGGGGTCTATATTGTTTTAAAGGATTCATTTCAATTTTGTTTTATTTTTAAATAAATTACCTTTTTTAATTTTTTATTAAGATTTTAAATAATTCTATCTTTAGAGGTTTGGGACAAGGAAAAGGATTTAACTGACAGTGATGACGCTTTAATAAGTAACAACGCTCTGAATTGATTAAAAAAAGTTAAGAAAAATATTGATATTTTTCTAACAAACCTTATGTATTTAATAATCAAAAATCATTAAAATTAGAATTTGTGTTTATAAAATGTTAATATCGTTGTATTAAATATGTTTAGTTCAGTACAGTTAAACAAGGATGCCAAACAAGTGTTCATGATTACAACTGACCAAGGCAAAAAATTCACCTATTAAAATTAAAATTAATTTTTATAAATTACATAAGTTGGTAATTAAATTATTAATTGAAAGTGTACATCATCCCAAAGGATATTTTCAATCAAATATTCTGAATGGCATTTATTGTTCCAAACAGTGCATTTTATTTTTTATCTTGGTAAATTTTTATTTGAATCCTATCATATGAAATAATTTAGTATTAATAAATTTGATAAAATATTTTAAGGAAACAACAGCATATTATTATTATTATCAACTAATCAAACATTCAACATCTTCATAACAAAAATTAAAATCAATACTTCCCACCTAAACAACTGTTAGCTGAAAAACAATAAATGGGTTTTTTTAATTGTAAAGGTAATATTTAATAATGTTTATATACACAGTATTTCAGCTATTCATTAATTAGGTTTGAGTAGCAATAATTTATAATTGCTGCAATTATTAAGTTTGATTCAAAAACAATATTATACAAACAGAGGATGTTCTTTCTAGTTTCAATAGCATTTGTATTATTATAATTTATTACCACAACGGATAGTTAAATGTGCTTGTAAATTGTGTACACAATTATACTTAACAGTTTCCAAATCATAAAATACAATGTCTTTGAGCTTACAGGCTGCTACACCATGCCAGAGGCTCGTCCATACGTATTTTAATTATTTTCAATCTTTTAAGGATTGTCAAACGACACCAGCAGTTTGATCACACACATTTACTATGTACTTGCAATGTATTATACAATAGGTACATTAGTCATATTCTATGACAAATACATCCGTTTATTAGGTATTGAAATATTAAATAGATAAAACACCTCTAGATATGTATAAATAATTACTGATTCAAATCACCTATCAATGAATAAAAACTGCCAGAAATGCATATATAAACAGATATTGGCAATTAAAAGATGGAGCTGAAATTGATAATCTTAATTTATAAATAAACTGTTTTCAAGTTGGAGACATTTCATTTTAAATCTCTATCATCATCCAAGAATAAAACCAATAGAAGTTATTAAAATAGAACACTTGAACACCCTTGAATAAAAGCATAAA